GATATGTGGCAAATATGGTGATTCCAGGAGAGGGTTTGGCCTATGAAAATACCTAAGTATTTAACTGAAGGATAGAGCTGTTGCTGTTGCCATCTATGGCGGATTGAACACTACCAAGGATTTTGATTAAGGCGGATTTTGTGGAGTAACCTGGTCGAAAACCAGATTGGTAAGGGTCAAGTTGGTTGGACTGTTCGAGGAAGTTGGAAACTTGGGATTGGACTGTTCGTTCCAGAGGTTTTGCAAGGGTAGAAAGGATTGAGATTGAGCGGAAATCTTAAGGTAAGAAGGATTAGGATTTTTAATTAAAGGACGGACAATGGTTTTTTCCCATAAGGACAGAAATACTGAGTTCTGAAGGGAGACATTATAGATGAAAAGAAGAACGGGAAGGATTTCAGGGAGGCACAATTTGATTAATTCGACGAGAATACCGTCTTGACCAATAGGGTTGGAATGACATTTCATCACGTCGGACATGAGGTATGTAAGAGAAATATCTGACAAATAAAAGTTGTAGTCGTTAAATGATGTTCCAAGAGTAAAGAAGGAAGAGGTTGATAGAGGAATAGAAGAGGAAGTTGATGTAAAATATGAATTTAAATCATCAGGTGAGACTGGAAAGACTGCTGAGGAAGGTGATCTGGAAGATTCACAGAGTGAGATTTTACGAAGAGTTTACCTAATCGTGGAAATAGATGGATCTGGCTCGTCGGATTTTGGTTTGTGACAGGTTATGGAGCACCCTAAACGCTTGGTAGTCGTCAAAGAGCCTAGTACGTTTAAAGCGTCTGCGAGCAGCATAACGTCTCTTCTGAAGGTCTTTAATTTGCTGACACATCCAGGGAGCCGGGGGGGGGGGCGACAAAAGGTAGATCTTTTTGATGGAAGCATGGGCATCGAGGATATTAAGGAGGTTGGAAGTGAAAATGTCAACCATAGAGTCAATACAGGAACAGAAATATATTCCATTACAATCAAGGGTTTCCAGATAGGGTAAGATTTTTTCCCGAGTGAGGTCATGAATGGAACGGAAAGTTATGGTTCTAAGTAGGATCGGCGGAGTATGGGTATTATATGAAATTTAGATTAGGTCATGAGAGGATAAAAAGGAGACCGGTACTTGTGAGACTGGGTAATAATACTGAGTAATATGCGTATTCCTTGATATCCCGAAGATAAAGCGTATTGAGCAATCTTTAGACGTTTAAGTTTGGCCATATTCGAAGTGCATGTCTCAAAGTCATGCAGCCATCGTCGAAGTGGGGGAAAACAAAAGATGAAACCAGGAGTTGACGGGTTTTGAATGGAAGGAGATAGCGTTTCAACAGTTTCAGGGTGGAAATAGTACGGCATGAAATTTGGGAGATGTGTGGTTTCCAGAAGAAGGTTTGAAATGAAATGAAAAAATAATTTTATTTTTAAACATGGCACAGAACATTGGTCCATTAGTCTGGTTTGACAGGACACAAAGAGGTCATTTGAATGTTAATTTCAATTGTTATCGCAATCATACCTGAATAACAATAGTAAACACTTTAACACTAGTACATTTTATATGGTTTCAATGTATACAAAGAATAAATAAATAAATGAAATAAAATCAAATGAAACTTGTCGATTAATTGTTAGTGAGAGGTTGTAATTACAGAATCCAATAAGTATTACATAGATTCGGAAGTTTGAAAATGAAGTAGGAGGTGGAATAAAAGTTGTTTGAAGGAATTTAAGGTCGAGGAAGGAGGTAACACAAATGTCGAAGGATTTGTTGAAGGATGTAGATTTATGAAAAGAGATATATTAATCAATAGGTTGAGATATGGTATTAAGAGAGTGGAAGAGGAACTTAGGAAATTCCAAAGATAAATCTTATCAAAAAGTTCATAAGTCTCTTCAATTTCACCTCTAGTCTTTCAGGCAGCCCTCCATACACCAAGTAACCGTAGTCGAAGTGGGAGAATACGAAAGAGGTTATAAGGAGCTGTCTAGTTTTTTGAGGAATAGAATCACGGGACCTTAGGAATTGTTTAAGGACAGTTATGGATTTTTGGGTTATCTGAGAAATATGGTTATTCCAGGAAAGGTTCTGATCAAAGATAACTCCTAGATTTTTGACTGTTTTGAAAAAATGAATGGGGTGGTTATTAAAGTAGAGTAGAGGAGAGTAAGGAAGGGAACTATTGAGATGCCGGGACCCGATAAAAATAGCCTTAGTTTTGTCTGTGTTCAGCTTTAACTTATTTATTTCTGCCCATCTGTTGATGCAGTCAATATCTTCTTGTAGCTTTTTGGTACCTCAGGCATCTCAAAAGGGTGGAAAGATTGGTAAATTTGGAAATCATCGGCATATAACGTATAAGGTGGTAACGGGAGTAATTAATGGAGTCCGGAAGATCATTAATATAAATAGAGAAAAGGGTTGGAGAGAGTGAGGAGCCTTGAGGAACACTTGTGTTTATTGGAAGGGTCTGTGAGAGGTGGAATAAGAACGATCAGAACTTTACATTTACATGGCTCAACCAATGCGTTGGTTAGGGTTACGTTCGTTTTCATTTTTGGATAAATGTAAATATCTTTTATTTCCCAATCAAGTCTTTTATTTTAAATTTCAATAACGCGTTAAAGCATGTAACACTAGTAGAATGGTACTTATATTAGAGATATTGTTGCCAAATGACATACGAAAAAATCGCATCTTCTTTTTGCAGCTTTCCCACCATAAACCTAGACCAAACATTTTTGAAAGCTGGTTCCAAAAATAGATTTCTAGTACCAAAACATCAGTATCAGGAATCAGAATGAGAAATTCTGATATTCTGCATTTTACAACATGAAAAATATGACAGAACATTCTCGAATCAACTTCCAGATGATTAGATTTTAAATTAGTTTAAATCTTTTTTCTTCAGAATTACAGCTTGTCAGATTTCTGTGCGAAAATGCCGTGAAACTTTCAGGAGTGGTAGATGGGGAGTTTTAAATATGTGGTGAATTCGTAGTTCTAGAAAAATGTTTTAAACTCGAAGGTACTTTCGATACATACAGGTAAATTCGAGAATGTTCTGTTATATTTTTCATGCTGTGAAATGCAGAATATCAGAAACTTTCATTTTGAGTCCTGATACTGGATGCTTTGATACTAGAAATTGGTTTTTGGAGCCAGCTTTCAAAAATAGTTTGTCTAGGTTTATGCTTAGAAGGCTGCAAAAAGAAGATGCGATTTTTCACATGTCATTTGGCAGTAATATCTATAATATACGTATCATTATACTAGTGTTACATGCTTTAACGAGTTATTGAAATTTAAAATAAAAGACTTGGTTGGGGAAATAAAAGATATTTACATTTATCCAAAAATGAAAACGAACGTAACCCTATCCCACGCATTGGTTGAGCCATGTAAATGTAAATCAATTGCCGAAAGATGACATACAATTGAAAAAAAAATGATCATGCTTACCACTTTGCAAGAGTCACGATTAATATGTGAAAAAAAATGATAAAAGCAATTCCTAAAGATTATATACAGTTATGTTCATTTCCTATTTATATAAATTTGTATTTTAAATTAAAATACAATATTATGAAAGTTTATGGCAAAATTAAAATTGTATTTTAAATATAAAAATTTATATTTGGATTTTTTTTTTTTTTTGTATTTTAGCCTATTTTTTTCTTATTTTGAGATTCATTATTTTAAACAGATACGTTTTCTAACAACATTAATTTCATAGCATCATCCAGCATTAAAAACTATATAGAAATGATACGTCACATGTTTTTCAGAAAATGGAAAATAATGCTTTTTACGAAGATCGCGCATTTATAGTGTGCATTATGTGCAGCTTTATAACTCAAGTGTTGTTCATGAAATTTAATTTGGACTGTGAATATGAAATAAATATGAAGATCTTAATGTTAATGACGTTTGCCCACCACACATTAGCACATAGTTATTAAATTTGAATTTCATATGAAAAATGAAGGGTAGTTCATCGGAAACATTTCGATCTATCATATAAAATAATAAAAATAAATGAGACAAATAAAATAAATAAATAAATGATAAATATATTTAGAAGAGTCCTATATAAAACCCCGCGCTCGATTTACTCACCGGTAATTAATACCAACTCCGGTTTATTAATACCAAAAAAATAAGAAATAACAAAATTTTCTCAGCATTATCACACGAACAATTTGAGACCGAATTCGAATCTCTACGGTGATTGATTGTCGAGTTATAGGGATTAGAGGACAGTAACTTCTGGGCTTTCGCCCCCTCCCTCCAGCCTAAACCTGCCACATTCAGAGGTGGCAACATCCAGTTTTCTCATCAGTAGGGTATTTCACACAAGAATCTGAAGAGAAACCGAAGTGCGGATTTTGTATTCTCAATCGTAGTCATCGTCTAGACTACATAGATTGTTTTTTGAATCTATAGCTCACCTCTGATGTAGTTTTACTGTTTAAAATGGATTCTATAATGCTATCAACCACCACGGGCGGATCTACGGGGGGGCTTTCGGGCAGAAGCTCCCCCCCAAAATGGAAAAATATAACCATGTTTTATGGGGAAAAAATTTAAAAAATATCTCTTAAAGTATTATTGTTCGTGTAATTACATTTAAAAGTACTTAAGGAATAACGTAAACACCATTTCATATAGGTAGTTAGTGTCTTTCTGTTTTTCCAAAGTAATTATCGTTATTTTTATGAAAAAAAAAGGTTTCGGGCTGAAGTCCCCCACAAAATTAAATCCTGGATCTGCTAGTGTCAACCACCTTAACCTTACTTTATCAATTAATTTCACTGATGGTAGTGTATTTTTTAGAAATTCTTTTTTTCAGTTATCTTTATAACAAGTATTAGTACTATTCATGAAAACCAATTGAAATTCTTAATACTTTATGGACAGATATGCACACTATTAAAGCTGCTGTCAGACTCTCATATCCTTATTGATATCTGATATCAGAATGATAGATATTTTGTTGCAGGAAAGCCATCTAACTATATTAGTAAATAAATGGAGCATCAATGGAACTTGGATTGGACAAGAACTTGGTTTAAAATCTCTGAATTTGTGTCCTTTACAAGAATTTCCCGAGGAAATTAGATTTGCATCTGAATACTATGTTACATGTTCTGTAAATGCAAAGGAGCTTCTTGGAAAAGGAGAACCAATATTTTATGATATTTATCTTAAATATATAAGCAATAATGAAACAATGTTGCACTCTATACCATTATTAATTCAAAACTACAAGCATCACAAAAAATTTGTCAATAAGGTAATGTAAATACTTATTCTTTTTCTCATTAGTTTAGAAGTTTTAGATACAGATGTTTACTTGCCTATTTAAATTTTATATTACCATATTTATGGTTTAATTTAAATTGCCTTTATACAACTTATGTAGAGAGGATCCAGTTAAAGTTCTACCATTAGTTTAAAAACTCTCTCTCTCTCAATCGATGCAACGACCCATTACTGGGTTCTGGCCTCCATGGAGTCAATGTTTCCCAAGATGCATGCTCAAGTATTGATTGGCTTCCAGTTCCTCAATGTCTGCTTATTCCTTTATTAGAATATTATGAATATTGATCACTTAACATTAATATTGATCCTTTTTTACATGGAGCACCACACATTTATCCAGACCAAATGTCATATCTATGTCACTAGTGATTCGTTTTGAACCATGTTTTGTTCTTTTTTACTTATAGTTATATAAACTGATGGTAAAAAAAACCGGCGCATTTTCAATTTTACATAAAAACTGTATATTAAAGATAGAAATATAAATAGAAATAGAAAGAAGACATATTTTTGAGCCTGAAACCTGAATCTCCAACGACAGCACACCGAGAAGCTCGCCTTCACTTTTGAAGTGAACACGCTGCCTGGGCAGAAGATGATTTAGCCTCTGTTCTCCTTTATGGTCATGCCAGGTATAGCCTTTATGGTGCAGACGGACAAGTTTTAGTATGGGGAAGACCAAGTAAGGAATTAGCTCAGTGTAATATATCGGGAAGAGTGCAGTTTGGAGGTGTGCTAGATTTTATGACCAGAAGTGTATATTATACACGTATAATATTATAGAGTGTATATTATAGAGTGAAACTCTATAGATAAGTAGAGGGAAAGTTTTATAGGAATTCTAGCAGACCTCAAGAGCTACAAAAAAGTTCATATCAATAATGGGCCAGCTTTCACCAGAAAAATAGAAAATCCAAGTTTTTTTTTAGGTAAGACTTTTTTTCTGAATAGGAAGTGAAACCTAAAAACTTTTTTATTTAAGTAGTTCACAATTATTTCACTGTAAACTAGACAACATTTATCTCAAATAGAGATAGAGTTTGTTATTGTTAAAACCATTTAAACAGGACTTTTGAGCGGCTAAAATAAGCTAAGTTGTGTTTTAAAAAAATCATAAATTATTCACGATTATTTTTAATCTTCTCGTACTATACTATAGATGCCCCACTTTTAGAAAAACTTCCCCGTTGAATAAGCTTTAAGTCTATTCATCTCATGTTGTGTAAAAAAAAATTATATAATTTCATATCCTGTCACCTAAAAGTAAGATTGCATGTATCTGATACTTTGAATCCGATACTAAAAAGTAGCTGATAAAACAAGCAGTAGATAATGCTACTGACATTCATACAAATCTTTGTACAGAGTTGTCAGATAAGTAGAAGAGGAATGTTATATTTGTTTAGTTTCACACAATTTCTTTAGAGCTATCTATTAATTTATTTTAATTTAGTTAAATGTTAATTTGTTGATGGATGTATTCACGCTTTTTTTAATGCAATGTTTATTGGTATAAATTAACTCTAAAGTTGACAATTCATTTGTTTTATTTCAGATTTATGACTTATTTGTAAATAATACTTTTTTAAAATAAATTTTAATTACTGTTTTATACTTATACTTCAATTAATTAAATAAATTTTCACATCTACTATTATGGTGTGGTTTTCTTATACTTCTTTTTACTTTTGATTCATAATGTTCATTCATAATAATATTTGTTGAAAATCTTCATTTCCTACCTAATAGATAGATAGATACATAGAAAGTAAACTTTATTCTGGGACGAGGTCCCATATGAATAACAGATATGAACAAAAACATAAAAACTACATCTGGCCAAAAATTACATTAGTCAATATTAAAGAATATATAGTATCTTCAGTAAAATTATATTAAAACAAGTAAAAACAACGCCATTTTGAAAAAACAAAACATTATTTCAATGAAAAGAGAACAAAATAAAATAAACATGGGTTGATTTTTAAAATTAAAACTCTATCAATTTTAACAACCATTCACCTCAGTCAAAATCTGTTTCGCAATATTTATTTAATTGTATAACGTCATTTTGGAATGTGAGAAGGAATTGGTAAAGATGATATTTAAATGAGGACAAGGAAGAGGCATGGCGGATATCAGAAGGCAAGGAATTCCAGAAGGCAGTAGATCGGGCAATAAAGGAATATTCAAACGTCTTAGTTCTATGGGAAGGGATATAAAGGTCGGAAACACGGGATCTTTTTTTCTGGGAGTGGACCACGGGTTTAAACTGTACGAGACTGTAGATGTAGAAAGGGTGTCGGGTGTTGATCGTTTGGAATAGGAAAGATCCAAGAAAATATTGTCTGCGGAAAGAAGGGAAGAGCCTCATTAACTCGTTGTAAAGGTGGGACACATGAGACCGCCTCGATGTACCGAAGACAAATCTTAAGCACGTATTCATGAGTCGCTTCAATCTATCCTCGAGTACCATCGGGATGCCTCTGTACACCACACAGCCGTAGTCAAAGTGGGGGGAAATGAGAGAGGATACAAGGAGCTTGCGGATGGGTTGTGGGAGTAGGTGGCGGGAGCGATGAAATAGCTTAAGGGTACCTATTGACTTACGGTTGATGAGGGCGATATGGGGTTTCCAGGAGAGGTTTTCGTCTATGGTGATTCCTAGGTTTTTAACGGAGGAGCTGAATGTGATAGGATGATCGTTGATGACTTTTCGACATTTTCGACCAAAATTGTGATGGAACGATTACTAAGTCGGAAGGAATAAAAATTAATCTCGGAAAAAAAGTATTCTGGTTGGTGTTTTAATAGCTCACCAGCGATTACAACCGATAATTACCAAGTTCTCGTTCTTATACCGCATTTCGAAAACTTCTCTTAACCCTGAAAATTTACGTTTTAGAAATATTTCACCCGAAGACCTTCTTTCCTCTGTCCTCAAATCCAGAAGGAATGCCTATGGTCTGGATCAAATTCCAGTGAATTTAGTCAAACCATGTCATCCTGTCATCTTTTCTGACCTTTTGTATGTCTATAACTTTTTCTTACGAAATTCCGGTTTGTCATCTGCTTGGAAAAAGTAATTGTCCGTCCGCTGAGCGAAGTCCCGGTTCCTTCCAAAGTTTCCGACTTTAGACCGATCTCAATTCTTTCCAATCTTTCAAAACCACTTGAAAGATGAGTCCATTCACAACTAAAAACCTTCCTAGAGCAAAAAGCTCTCCTTAATCCTCTCCAATCCGGTTTCCGATCCCACTTTTCCTCTCAATCTTCCATGTTAAAAATCACCCAAGGGCCTTCAATTCTCTGTAGATAAACAGATAATCTCTATCTTGGTTTTCTTAAATTATTCAAAATCATTTAATTCAGTTAATCATGAAATCCCCCTTTACAAATTCTGAAATCTCTCCTTCTCGAATAATGTGAGATTTTGTGGTTTCATTCCTTCTTGTCTCAGAGATCCCAGACAGTCATCATTCCCAATAAAGCTCCTTCCTCGTCCCTCTTATTAATTCGTGGTCTTCTTCAGGGATCTTCCCCTTCACCAATTATTTTCTCCATTTATATCAAAGACCTCCCTGATTCTATCCATCATTCACAATATCACCTATATGCTGATGACCCCCAGGCTTCAAGAAGACGTAGAAAATATCAACGCTAACAACGGTTCGAGACTGAACATTGAAAAGACCAAAGGCATTCTCATTTGGTATAAGCATCTTCCTAATTGCTTTCCTCATTATCCGCTACTCTACATTAATGACCAACCTATTTGCTTCCACATTTCCGTTATAAGCCTTGGGGTAATATTTGATCAACACCTGTCCTGGAATCACCATGTTTCCTAAATTATCAGAAAATCTATCGTTACTCTTAAACAGTTGAGAATCCGTGATTCTATCCCTTTTAAGACCTGTCAGCTTCTAGTTTCCTCTCTTATCTTTCCCAACTTCGGTTATGGCTGCCTTATATATGGCGGACTGTCTAGTGGACATGAGGTTAGACTGAATAGGCTAATAAATTGTTTCATTTGATCTATCTACGGATTCTCTAGGCGCTCCCAAGTCTCAGTCGAATACCAGTTGGTATTCCGAATTGAAGTGTTTATATCTAGTTTCTCGATGGCAATGTTTTCTTGGTGTATCCCTTTTCCGAATCTTTTTTTTTTTTTTTTTTTTTTTTTAAATCTTTTTATTGAAAAATAATACATTTTGCCACATTTAAGGGCACTGAGTACTAAAGCTGAGTGAGGCCCATTCATACTATATATACAATGCAATAAAAAAAAAAAATAAATAAATAAATAAAAAATAAAAATATATATCTATATAACAAAGGTAAAAACTATGAAACTAAAGAAATGTAACTTTAAAAAAATAATAATAATAATAATAAAAAAAATACAGAAATTGGTAGCAAATTAAATAAGTAATAAGTAAAACAAATAAATATATAAAAAAGAAAAACATTCATACTTAATATATAAAAAAAGAAAAACATTCATACTTAATTTACATTATTTACAATCAGCCAAGGGAGCTCCGAGTCCAGCCCTTTCCTCCACGTGTGAAGGACAAAGCGAGACTCTAAGAGATCCCAGCGCTTCTCTCTCAGCCGCGTCACCGGCAGGAGTCCAGTTTTCCGAATCTTTACAACCAGAAAACCTTCTTACCTTCCTTACTTGTTCACTCCTTGTTCGTTAATACATTATTTCAACACGAGATCCTAGCTCACAAACCTGTATATTCCTTCTCATTTATTTAGGCAGTTTATTTTGAAAAAAACCCTTCATTATGCGTTCTGCTTTGTTTTGGAATTCCTTACTCACCTCCATACGGAGAAAATTATCATTGACTTCATTTAAAATCCATTAAAATAATGTTTACGTTTTTCGGTTCTGTCAGTCGCATTTAATGTTATCTTACAGCTAATTGTGTAACAGTCAAATTGTTTATATGTACAAATATGTGAACTCGCACATCTGGATTTATCTATAATTTCATATGTCAACTAATGTCTTTTCTTTATTTTAATTTAAGATGTAGATAACTATGTAATTTAATTTATTCCTTATTATTTCTAATGTCAGACATCATTACATTGTTAATTGTAGTTAATCTGAGGGGTCTTAATGTCCCAGAATAAAATTTACTGTTCTTCTTCTTCTCTTTGAATGGATTGGTCCCTTAGCTCGATGTTAATTGAAATTAATGCTAATTTAAATATATATTATATCTACATGTTCTAAAACATTTTTAATTTGAAAAAAATATCATTTTTATAAACATTTGGTTTGTTCGATGAATTTTTCACACTACTCTACATTTTAATTTATCACACACAACATAAATTTTATTCACTTCTAAGAATTTATTTATTAGCTGGTAACACATATCTCATTTTTTTATGATAACTTTATAATAATTGTGGTTTGGTTGCTATTTTACTTTCTTTCCTTCAGCCCTAATAAAATTCTGAAACTTAGGCCAAACATTGGCACAAAATAAAATAAAATTTTTATCGTGTTTCTTACTGTGTTGTAACCCCCGACTAACTTCCCGAATATATTATCTAGTCAAATATTTGTCTACCACTAATAATAATAATAATGTAAGGATTTTTATTATTTGAAAATCCAATGAAAACCGTCATGTTTCATTGTATATATGAAATAAAAACATCTTTTACTTGTTAAAATGATTTTCTTAATTGAATATTGTGGTATTTTTAAAACCTTAAGATATAATTGATTAAATGTAAAAGGTTTTGTATTTACAGTAACGTCGAATTACGATAAAATCCTGAAGATTTGTGAATGGTTTAGTGAAAGGCAAAAAAAAAAAAAAAATCTAATACAATCAAGTAGTACAATTTATTATTTTTTTAATTTCAAAATAAATTCTTATTCTAGAGTTTTAATAAATGCTAAAAACAAATCTGAATTGCTTTTTCATGACAAAAATTTACTGACCACTTTAGGGGTAACACCTTTTTGTTTTTGTAACTGCTTTATTTATATACATTTGAATTCATGTAATATAATCAGAAATATTTTTTTGTTCTGTTGCACACAAAAATAAAAAAATTGTATTAACTTTAAAAATACAGATTTTTTTTTTATAATATTGGTAATACTGTTTCTACATATGGTAGTAGATTCAAGCGATTTCCATGTATTTATATCTTACATAGGAAGTAAAAATAAAGTTTGTCAGGGATTAAATGTTGCTTACTGCCATATATATTAGTATGTTAACTGCTAGTGCAATCCTGTTCGCTTGGCCTTGGTTCTTGGATACAGTTTTTGAACCCTGGGATTTATGTTGTAGTATAATTGTTACCAAATTATTAAGTAACTTTAATTCTGATTAATAGGTGATAAAAAATTGATTGTATAATTTTAGGTAAATGATATTTCACAATGGCAACTCACTCGTCGTATGTTTGTTGTTGATACTGTTAGCAGTTATAAATTAGGCGACAACACATCTTCATTGCCTTACATAATTCGATATTTGAAATCTGCTACCTTAAGGTATGGTTATTATGTTAGTTTTTTTTTTTGGTTTTTATTAAATTATAATAATGAGTCATTATCTTGTTAAGTATTTTTCTTGGGCAAAATTTACCACATTTTATAGATTTGAATGAATCTGAGAACATTTTTAGATGAAAGTCTTTATGGCAATTTTCTAAAAAGACATTAGTAGATATCACAAGAGGAGGTGGTGCAAGCTACCTGTTAGAAAATTATTGAATCAATAGAAACAATGAGGCTTAAGCTTGAATTATAAAAAAAAAAAAATTGCTTGTACATAGATTTGGGTAAGTAATGGGCCATTGTAAGTCTTTACAGAATGGAATATTTATGTTAACCTACTTCAACAGTAAAAAGTAACAGGGACACAAAAATTGAGTTAAATTAAAGAATCGGCAGTGGTAGAAAAGGTATTGGCATGCTGAATTCTCTTATCTGAAACAATAATATCGTTAACAAGAGTGAGAAGCTAATATATAGTGCACTTGTTGAAAGTATAATATTGTATGTCCCTGTGACTTGGAACTTAACAGAGTACAGAAAAAAATATACTTGCAGATCGATTTCCGGAGGTATACCAGAAATGTATTTTAGCAGATTGGGAACCGTGAACTCTGAGAAAGAATGGAAGTAAAAAGAGACATATTAGAAGTGGTTAAAAAAAAAAAGGAAGTGGTTATTTCATAAGAGAAGTAGTCTAGATTATTTATCCAATGCATGCCGAGAAGTTTGATTTTATGTTCACCATCAGCGGAAAGGCAAACTGCTTGATGCACACCTTCTGACGCCATTAAAGACTTCAGCAAATTACGACTGTTGATTGCCCAATTGTTTAATTGAAAGCAGCCCTTACCTAACAATTCGATAAGTTCCGATGGTTCGTCCTCGGATGCATCACCCGTTGCGATGTCGTCTACATAAACTTCTTCCTGCAAGGCTTTGGAAGTCGGTGGATATTACTCACCTTCATCTCCTACTAATTGGCCATTTGAGCCTGAAATGGTACCGAACTCGTGTCATATGTAACAATGCACATTTAAAACTCCTGAACTGCATTCTTCGGGTTAAAGCGCCGAAGTAAAGTATGTTGATGCTTTCTAGTGTACCAGAATCTGTCGATGCTTCTTAACAATGTCCGCGATAAAAACTATTTGGTGAATTCGAAAGTTAATTAATATGTCGCGGATATCTAGTTGTAATTTCGGTCCTTTCAGTAAATGATCGCTCCGAGACCCATCTTGTGTTTTGCATGAACAATCGAACACCGTTCTTAGCTTCATTGAGCTGTGGTGAGTTTTCACTACCGCGTGATGTGGTAAAGTTTACACAGCAGTGGTATTCCCTTCCATGACCTTCATGTGACCCATGTCCTCATATTCCCGCATGAATTGTTGATAATCTTCTTTTAGTGAGGAATTCTCTTCCAGCTTTGCCTTAAGATTGAGAAGACGCTTAAAGGTTTGGTTTCTCGGATTTCCATGATTAAATATGGTGTCCTTTACCGGTAAAGAAACAACATAGCGGCCTGAATCTATAATGAGTTTCCTGGAAGTGCTTTTCACATAATTTGTCTTCTTTCGTCTCCAAGGTTACTGGAGTTTACTACACTTCTTCAAATTCCCAAAATGTTACCACTGTTTTATTCAACTCTTCATTAGTTTGAAGAAAAAATGAAAAATCTTTTAGTGATATGCTCTCTCACCTCAAAGGACCTGAAACAATAAATCCGAAAATGGTGGGAATCAATCTTGGCACGTCATGACCGACGTTGATCGGATGATCTGTAATAATGTACATAAAAAGATCAATAGTCTGGGTCAGCTTAGAAAAAACCTTTATAAAATGTCTGAAATTGGGGGAGGAGAGAAGTTTGTGGAAGTTGACTCGTAGTTTCAGGGATGACAACTGATTCAGTGGTTAACAACCTTGAATCGTACGCTGAAAGAGAAAAACGTAGAGTACAATTAACTTTTCCAGTGGAGTTAGTTACGATCTCCTGCCAAATGTCAGAAATATTTTGTTTACAGAGCTAGATTACTTTATTTTTTTTTTTATATTATAAAACATTTTATTGATAAATATTATAATCTATCACAGTTAAGGACACTTATAATAGAGTTCAGAGAGTACATTCATACAGTTTATACAGAAATATAAATAAATAAAGTAATGACAAAAGAATAAGAAAAAAGAACAAAAGAGAAAAAAAAATATATATACACATAAGTAAGTAAAAATAGAAATAAAAGTAAAATAAACATCTTAGATACATGCATACCTATATACACTATTTAAAATCAGCCAGGTGATCTCCGAACCAATCTTGTCCCCCCACATGTGGAGGGAAAAGCGAGGCTTAGGAGATCCCTACGCTTCTCCCTCAGGATTTTATTGATTACATAGAAGGGAGCATCGACTATTGTACGGAGGACTTTAGACTGAAAGGATTGAATGAGTTTGATGTTAGAAAATTTAGCTGTTCCCCACAGTTCTAGTCCGTAAGTCCAGATGGGGTTCTGGATGTCTTGTAGATCAGTAATTTGTTTTCACCAGAAAGTTTAGATTTTCTATTCAGTAGTCTATATAGCTGGCCATATCGTCTGTTAAGTTCTGTCTTTTAAGTCTAGTATGTGGATTCCATGTTAGTCGTCTGTCTAAGAGAAAGCCAAAATACCGGACTGTATCTGAGAAAGGAAGCTGAATGGAGTTAAAATAAACTGGTGGGCAGGTATTACGCCGAAGGTTGAAGGTAATGTGTTTACATTTAGATTCATTTACCTTGATGCGCCATTTCTTACACCAATGTTCAATCAGGAAGAGGTGCCTTTGTAAGTTTGCGGACGCTGTTTTAGGATTTGAGTTGGAAGAAAGGATAGCAGTGTCATCAGCAAAAGTCGCCAGGAGGATATCGGGATGGACAGGAATATAAGCGGTAAAGAGAATGTAAAGGATGGGACCCAAGACGCTGCCTTGAGGAACCCAATTGCCCTCCAAACCAATCCATCTCCAATACCCAATTTAGTTCCTTCCTCATTTCCTTAGGACATCATTTCATGTTGGGCGCAAACTTAAACGCCAAGCATCAACAATGGGGTTCAAGAACCACGAATTCTCGTGGTCGAACATTGGTGTCTGTACTCAATTCCCTAAATTTTACCCTTCTTCCACCCAACTCACCTATCTACTGGCCCACTGATCCTAACCGTAATTCCGATATCCTCGATTTCTTTATCCATAGTGGTTTAGGTGCTCTCAACCATTCCGTTGACCGTCTTGACGAGCTTTCTTCAGACCACAGCCCGTTAATACTCCAAGTATCACTAGCTCCTATTCCTAAACCCTTTCCATCGTCCTTCATCAGAGGCCCAGTTAACTAGAAACTCTTTCATCAAATCCTATCCGATAAAATTGACCTCAGCGTAATCCTGAAAACCCCTGAAGACCTGGATAATGCAGTACATTCATTTACTACCAAAATTCAAGAAGCAGTCTGGACTGCTTCCTCCCCTGATCACTTCTCAAAAATCCTTAAGAAACATAATTTACCTTGACACCTCCTTGACCTAATCCACATAAAACGCCGTGCCAGATTATTATGGCAACGTACCAGACATCCCGCCGACCGCCACTCCTACAATTATTACTTTAAAAAATTAAAACAAGAATTAACCACTTCAGATCCCAATCATTCAACTCCTACCTCACCACACTCTCTGCTCATGATAATTTCCTTTGGAATATCACCAAAAAAATCCTCAAATCCCATCATATTTCCCACCCCCTTCGACGAGGAGATGGCTTCTGGGCAGCATCTGATGAAGATACAGCCGAGGAGTTTGCCAAACACCTTTCCCATATTTTCACTCCTCATCCGGAATCCCATCCCAGCCACACAGTAAAAGTAGAAGAATCCCTCTCAACACCTATCCCACTTTCCTTACCACCTAAAGCTGTTAGTCCCTCTGAGGTCAAATACCTTCTACTGAAAATCACTCCTCGCAAATCTCCTGGATATGATCTTCTAAACCCACAGATCCTTCGACAACTTCCATCCAAAGCCATCATATTTCTCACATATATATACAATTGCATCCTACGAACTACCCACTTCCCTCTCTTATGGACACATTCCACCATCGTCCTCTTCTTGAAACCAGGCAAACCTTCCAACAATACAGCATCCTATAGACCAATTAGCCTACTCCCAATCCTCTCAAAAATTTTTGAAAAGATCCTACTGTAACGAATCCTACCTATAATCGAATCCTATAACCTTCCTTCTCGTCAATTCGGATTTCGTTCCCAACATCCCACTGTCCAACAAGGACTCCGAGTTGTTGACCATATATCCTCAACCCTAGAAAATAAGCAATATTGCTCGGGTTCATTTCTGGACATAGCGAAGCTTTTGGCCTGGTATGGCATTGCTCTTCAAGCTTAAAATCCACCTACCACAGTCCTTATACCTAGTACTCCGATCCTATCTTTCCGACCGCTCCTTTCGAGTTCGCTGTGGTACCGAATTCTCCGACTTACTCAATTGAGGCTGGCGTTCCTCAAGGCAGCGTCTTGGGTCCCATCCTTTACATTCTCTTCACCGCTGATATTCCCGCCCATCTCGATATCCTCCTGGCAACTTTCGCTGATAACTCTGCTATCCTTTCTTCCAACTCAGATTCTGAAACAGCGTCCGCAAACTTACAAGGGCACCTCTTTCTGGCTGACAATACGAGGTAAGCAAATATTTCTCAAGTTCGGAAATCCTTCAAGGAAAACCTTCCACAATGAAGACATACTAGATGGTAACCCATCATCCCAATCAACCTTAAGAAGCCACAAACGTTGCAATATTCATTTAACAGAAAAGATTACCACTGATTACGTTGTCTACATAAATTTAATAAATTTTGATTTGTTTCGGCAATGGGGATACACCTAAACATCATTTTTACATCGCATGTTAAGGCCACAGGGAAGCATCTAAAATGGTCTATAAGTTTCGCAATATCAATAGGCAGACTTATACTCCGCTTCTCTCATAAATCTATTTTCCAGATTTCTAAATCTGCGTAGAGCTATCTCTCTAGTGGAATCAAGGCTAATTGGCTGGTTAGAACGAAAATGAAGAGAAACAACGAATCTACCCTGTAGATCACGAGTGCATGGTATTTATAAAGTGACCTTCGCAAAATGCACCTTCCCGATTCGGCGGAATCGAAACTGTGACTTGCTCAGTCTCCCAAAATCCTCCTGTAAGGAAAGGCTGGTCTGCGTGAAAAGGGTACTTGCTTGTTTTCCTGTAATCTTCCTAATGTTTATGTTTTATATAAAGTTCTCAATGTTTAGCTTTTTTAGATCACGTGATCAATCGCGTGACTGTCTCCATTTTGGTTTTTCCTATAACCTCCCCAACTTTACATTTACCTAACACTATTTAAGGTTGGTCGTGATATGTTCCATCATATCTCGAATATATGTGTTTAGGCAACTTTCCAAATTTAATTAAAGTAAAGGAAAATAACTCTAATGAGTTCAACATAGGCAACATTCAAATCATTTTGACAGTAGACTGTATTTTGATTTAAGTGGTAGTTCATGTGAATTGTGTAAAATAAAATTCACTCTTTTATGCTGGCATAGACATCTTACTTAACTGAGAGGGCTCTCCAGTCTGCTCTAATTGTTGTCTGTGAAAATTTTTGCCTTGGAATGTAAAGGAGCGAATTGTCTGGGAGCGAATTGTCGCTCGGCTGGATCAAATTTCTTATCTTTTAGATCTTATCTGATCTGTTTTCACTATTAGTCGCTACGCAACGCTCGGGTATAATAGCATTCACACAAGACAATGTGTTAACAAGGACTTTGAGCTATTAATCCTATATTTACTTTTAACATTTAATCAAAGTTTAAATAATGGATTTTAAATAAATTTTTAGGCATTTAATCCTATATGTAGTTTTAATATTTAACAAAACGTAAACAATAGACTTTGGATCCTTAATCATTACACCGTAAACATTGATAATGGGTGTTAATCCTCTATCTTTTAATTTTCTCCTTTTTCGCTAGGATGCTTCTTGTAGTCATAACCTTTATCGATGACCATCTTGGCAACTATTAGATACGCCTTAGAAATATAGATGAATCATTTGAAAATAATAATTCATTTATGGAAAATATTATCATCACTATTTATTTTTATAAATCTCTTTGCACGAAAAAAAAATTAATGGTACAGTTAGTAACGCTGCATTACATTTATTTCATAACCAGTTATAACCTATATAGCTTCTACTTATTTTTAATTCTTATTTCAAAATGTGCTAAACTAATATATGAAAACAATTTCGAGCTATTATTTATATATTAACGTCTAATCTTTAATCGAAGTATAAACAATGGACTTTAAAATTTTAGATGCCGCTCACATCTAATAGAGTGAGTAGCCGATTCCTCTTATTGTTAGATAATAAGCTCTAGAAAGACTACACCAAAAGAATAGCAACAAAGAAAATGCATGGATTCGAAGAATTCTCGTCGGAAACGTTCAGCCATTATGAGATGGGCAGCCGAGCCTTCAACGGATTGCAGGAGAAACATCGATAATGTTAAAAATAACAGCTTAGACAAATATGTAAAGAAAGTTTAATATCGGTACCTGTCCCTTCAGAAGATAATGTAAACGTTGAGAAATGAAATGTAAATAAGCCAAAGAAAAATCATCATGTGGAGTAGTTGTCGCATCCTAGACAACGAATTACGAAATATATTAAGTCCTGCACCCTTGCGAACTGATAATGTAAGAATTGAAAGCACGGTTTAAGATGTAAATATCGAGGAGGGTTTTGAAAAAAATAAGACCAGTTTGGCAAATATTGAGAATTTTAAATTAATATAAAAAAGACAAAAGAAATCACTATATGAAGTAGGTATTCCACCAAGTGGTGAAGATTCAGCACCCTAGCGGAGTTTTTACAACGTAGAATAAGTGCTGCACCCTATCGAGAAAAATTGTAAAAATTAGGAAGGTCACATACAATTTAAAATTGAAAAGGTTATGAAAACATTGGATGGGTTAAGTAAATACCGGAAGGGCTACAAAAAAGCCATAGAAATATCGAACTTAAGTAGGTTCCGCAACCTAGTAAGATAGAACGTGACTATTAAGGGGGTTATGGTTAGGTTGAGGTAAATACAAGTCAGAGTGGTATGACTTAAATTCAAAATCAAATTTGGCGCCATGATCACATGTATAGGTTGTGGAAGTTTTATAAAACCGTGGAACGGGTGCTGAAAATACATGTAGGGTTAAATTACCAAAAGGACACTTTAATGTCCATTGTTTATACTTCGATTAAAGATTAAAATTAAACATTAATTGATTAATAGCTCAAAATAGTTTTCTTATATTAGATTATCGCATTTTTAATTAAAAATAATCAGAAGCTATGTAGATTATACTGGTTATGAAATATCTCTAATGCATTGTTAACAACTGTACCATTAATTTTTTTTTTACTTCCAAAGAAAGTGATAATATTATTTTCCATAAATGTATTATTTTTTTCAAATAATTTATTTATACTTCTATGGCATATCTAATAGCAGCCAAGGTGATCACCGATCAATGTTATGTTAAACATAGGCGGGCACATGTTTGCTCGTGGCACAAGTGGGTACCTATGTTCCCAATTGTTGGGAACCCCTGAATTAGAATAAGCATCCTAGCGGAAAAGGAGAAAATTAAAAGATAGGTGATTAACATCCTTTATCAATGTTTATCATGTAAAAATTAAGGACCCAAAGTTTTCTGTTTACGTTTTGATTAAATATTAGAAATACATGTAGGATTAAATGCCCAAAAGTTCATTAAAAATTTTAAAGTCCATTGTTAACACTTTGATTAAAGATTTAAAGTAAATATAAGATTAATAGCTCAAAGTACTTGTTTACATATATTCTAGATAGGATGGAAATGGCTCGTATCATTACTTAGCCCACACAGAGTTAGGTGATGGTAAAGATTAGGGAGGTTATAGAAAAAAACAAAATGGAGACGTTCATGTGATCTAAAAAAACTAAACATTGAGAAGGTTATATAAAAGATTAGCATTAGGAAGGTTATATAAAAGATTAACATTAGGAAGGTTACAGAACAAACAATATGGCGACGGTCTCGTAACTCTAGAAAGGTAAACATTAGGAAGGCTATAGTAAAAACAAGGCAATCACGTGACTAGTCACTTGACGTTGAAAAGGTAAACATTAAGAAGGTTACATAAAAGATAAAAATTAGGAAGATTACAGGAAAAACAATATGGCAGTCTCTCAAATTGCAGTAAAACAAGATGCTGGCCGGGTATACTCAGCCTCTCTGAGAGGAGTGGGGGGAGAATTTGGGGGTCGCATGATCGAAAATGGGCGTTGCCTCGTGACGTAATACAAGGCGTAAACCTCGTAAGTATCCGAAAACAAGATGGCAGCCGGGCACACTCAGCCTCTTAGAGAGAAGTGGGGGAAATGTGGAGATCGCATGATAGGAAAGGGGTGGGGTTGATGTTCACGTGACTAAAAGGGGTGTGGCTAGGTGGTTAAGTTAGGGTCGAGGTAAAAGGGTGCGTGGCCTAAGGGTCACGTGGCTATTCACGTGGTGGTTAAAGCTGGGTGGGGGTGGAGCGGATAGAGTAATCGGTGCGCCAGCTCTCTCAGTTCTTATGTACTAGGGAGCGATAGAGGCTTATAGCTAACTTATTCTCTTATCACAGTCGGTCTAATACGGTATTAGCAATACCTATATTCTTCTTTTGTAGCGGCTGTAAATGTTCTTATTCAATATTCACTATTGATACTATTCAGTGTGTATGCAGTGATGTACACCACTGATTAGTTATTAATAATTATATTACTCACGATCTGGAAATTGGTTAAAAGAACGAGAGACACAGAGAACGTACTCACTATTTGACGGTCGGATCCAGACTCTTAAATGGTAAAATAAATTCTTTTAAATATTTGTAAGGAATTAATGAAGACAAGACTGTTTATCTGGTTTTACCAATATTTATTTTTAATAAAGATGAAATCCATGAAGGGTCACCTTCATCAAGGGTTAATGTGTTCGCGTGCAAACAATGAAGAAGAAGAATTTAGTCTCATGATGAACATCGTTGCGCCACTGATTATTTTCTTGAGTTCCATTTTGCTAGTTTCTCCACCAGTTCAGATATTCTGCTCCTGCGTTCAATTATTATAGCTATAACTTGCTCGTACTACTTGATACGCAACATGATATCTCTGGGCCCAGGAATAGAGTCTTCGAGTGACAAAATTAATTGAATATTTAAGTTTAGGATATGCAAATCCGCCTTGTTTTTTCATTATTTAGCAGATGTATAACCTTAGCAATCCAGGAGTGCACTGTCCTCATCAATTCATTGGACAAAATTAAAAAAAAAATATATTATTAAAATGATTTACAAGTGATTAAATAATGAAATATCATTTATTATATTGCAGAATAAGAGTTAGAGATGGTCTAGAAGAAGGCATGATATATCCACCATTGCTGATATTATCTTATGATGAGGTCACCAAAGAAGAAATAGAAAAGAATGCTAATTTTAAAGTGTTCCTGAATGTATATTTTCAAAAAAATGATACAGTAAAACGGTCGTTTGATGTGAGTAGAATAATAATGTATTAATAGTAAAAATATAAAATATTATTATGGTAATATAATTTATAAATCAAATCAATGTACGATTTATAACTTCATATTATATGCTTCTCCCTTAGGGTCTGTAATCATCCTGTTTGAAAACAAAGTCTGGAATATGGTAAAAGGAGATAACATGAATCAGACATAGTTCATTGTAAAATAATTTATATTAATTGAAACACATTCATTTTTCTCAGGTTTTTGTTATCATTTCTATCAATATGCTGTTCTCAGTGGATGCGAAGGTTGTGTTCTCAACTCGTCTCTCAGCTGTTGCCTATTTTTCAGCGGAATCTCTCTGATTATTCACTTAAAACAGTTCAAGTGTACTTCAAAGCAGTTGATATTTACAATTTGATATATTTTTTAAATTATTATTATTTTCATTTTTCTCTTACGATATGTGGCATCAGCAAGTGATGGCCAGTAAGGTGCCCAAGAGGACTCGGTCAGACGGCATTAGTACACGTTGTGGTTCTCTAGCCAAACAAAGAACTCGTCGCTGCCTACGAAAAACACCTCCAGTAAACAAAGTGAACACTTCAGAACAAGAACCTCAGCCCTAACCAGATACCTCTTCGCAAGAAATGGTTGAAGAATCTCCTTTCTTTACTCAAAACCCGTTCGAAGTGCTTCAAAATGACAGAGAAGTAATGGAGTATGCTGCAATACCCAGGGAACCAAGGCCTCCTCCGATATTTGTGGAAAATATCGAAAAATTCGTTTATTCGTAATCAGTTATTCGTGCCTTAACAGGACCAATGACACCAAAATAACACCAGATTTTGTTGAAGCCTACCGAAAAATATTGAAGTACCTGTCAGAAACGAATGCAAATTTTCATATGTACCAGCTGAGGCAGGAGAGATCGTTACGAGTAGTGATAAGAAATTTGCACTCCTCAACCTTAACTGAAGTGATAAAAGAAGAACTAATGACGCTTGGTTTCAAAGTACGTCAGGTAACCAACGTTTTGGAGCAAAATAATGAGCAGCCAGGATCGATTCATTCCGCATCGACGAAGGGGGTGGGAAATGTAATTGGATTTTAGGTCTTTTTCGGTGGTTTTCCAAAGGCAATTGTCGTGAACAGAGAGAGAAGTAAGGTAGGTATCAAAGGATTGGGATCAGAGGGATGATAATTCTTGCTTTAATAATTTACAATAATAATTGTAGGAGCGGTGATCGATGGGGTGTTTGGCACGTTGCAATAATGATCTGGCACGGCGTTTGGTGTGGATTAGGTCTATGAGATGTTGGAGTAAGCTATTTATCTTAGGGGTTCTTGAGGAACGATTTGGAGAGGAAGCTGTCCATACTGCTTGTTGAATATACATAAATGTGGTGGTGTAGGAATGTACTGCAATGTCAAGGTGTTTTGGGGTTTTCAAGGTTATTCTGAGGTCAGTTTTATCGAAAATCATTTGATGAAACAGTTTCCTGGGTCTAAACTAGGTCTCTGATGAAGGAGGGTGGAGAGTGTTAAGGAATATCGGAGAGATAATTCGAGTTCTAATGGACTATGATCTGAGGAAAGTTCGTCAAGTCGGGTAAGGGAATGATTGAGGGGTCCTAAACCACTGTGGATAAAAAAATCGAGGATATCAGGATTGCGGTTAGCATCAGTTGGCCAATAGGTATGTGAGTCGGGAGGAAGAAGGTTGAAACTTTGAATTGAGTGCAGACAGCATGGATTTACCACGAGAATTCGTGGTTTTTGAACCCCATTCGTGATGCTTGGCGTTTAAGTCTGCACCCAGGATGAAGTGATGTCTTAAGGAGTTAAGGAAAGAACTGAACTGGTCATTGGATATGGATCTGTTAGAAGGGCAATATGCTGATGCTAGGGTGACAGGAAAGGAGAAGGTTTTGATTACAATGGTTTGATTTTAGGAAATCTTGAGCAGATAATGAGAGTATGTGGTGGGACAGGGATTGGTGTACAATAACAGCAGTGCCGGGATGTGCTCTACCGTCAAGATGGTCAGTACGGTATGCCAAGTATTGTGGTATTTTGAAGAGTTGTTTAGTGGTTAGTCGAGTTTCAGTAATTAGTGCCACATCAATGTTCTTATCAAGTAGTAAAGTAGATAGTTCGTCTGTATGATTTCTAACACCATTCGCATTCCAATTGAGAATGGATATGGGTTTTGGGATGTGTGTCATTTAAGGATTTTTTAAAGGAGGGATGAGGTGAGATACGAGATTTGTGAGGAGTGATATGAGAGGTCTAACAAAAGATTTGATATCGGTGAAGAATGAACAAACTGGTGAAATCTGTTGCATTTGAAGGAGGAGGAATATGATAAATTTGTTGTTGATGGTTAGGTATATTAGGATGAAGCGGATTTTGAGGTTGGGGGTTGAGGTTGTTGTAGTGGCTGGGCTTGACATTTATCGGTTGAATTCTTACCACTTGAATAACTTCTTGAAGTAGTTGGGAGAATGATAAATTATTTTTTACAATTCTAAAAGGCTCTCTCTTCTTGGTCTGAGTGCTTCATCTTGAATCCGATTTTTCTGGTGTCTGGTTCTGAGATTCTTGTAAATTTGGCAGCCTTTGTAGTTGGCCGGGTGTCTCTCCAAGCATCGGGCACACACTGCAGGATCTTGTATAGGTTCGATGCACTCCACACATTTGTGCTGTTCGCCGCACTTCTCAACGTGGCAGATGGTGACAATATGTCTCTGGCCGTATGTCTACAATTACGGCACTGCACGATTTCCCTCTTGGGGTATGGTTTCTCAATTTTCCCCATTGTGTAGTATATTCTTGTGATATCATATATTTTTTCGATACCTGGTGATGGCTCCAAGTCTACGAAAAACAATGGTAGTGGGATTTTATTTCTTAGCCCTGGCTGCTTCTTGTCCTCCTTTAAAACGCTGGTTACCTGGCATACATTGAAACCAAGCGTTAGTTCTTGTTTAATCACTTCAGTGGGGGTTGGGGAGAGTAAATTTCTTATCACTACTTTAAGTTTCTACTCACTACTCGTAACACTCTCTCCTGCCTCAGCTGGTACGTGGGGAAATTTACATTTGTTTCTGATAAGTACTTCACTATTTTTCGGTAGGCTTCAACAAAGTCTGGTGTTATTTTGGTGCCATTGGCCCTGTTAAGGCACGAATAACTGCTGGAGCAGATTTCGTTTAGTTGGGCAGAACAACTGGAATTTTTCGATATTTTCCACAAATATCGGAGGAGGCCTTGGTTCCCTGGGTATTGCAGCAGACTCAATTACTTCTCTGTCATTTTGAAGCACTTCGAACGGGTTTTGAGTAAAGAAAGGAGATTCTTCAACCATTTTTTGCGAAGAGGTATCTGGTTAGGGCTGAGGTTCTTGTTCTGAAGCGTTCACTTTGTTTACTGGAGGTGTTTTTCGTAGGCAGGGACCAGTTCTTTGTTTGGCTGGAGAACCACAAGGTGTACTAACGCCGTCTGACCGAGTCCTCTTGGGCACCCTAATGGCCATCACTTGCTGATGCCACATATCGTAAGAGAAAAATGAAAATAATAATAATTAAAAAAATATATCAAATTGTAAACATCAACTGCTTTGAAGTACACTTGAACTGTTTTAAGTGAATAATCAGAGATATTCCGCTAAAAAATAGGCAAAAACTGTGAGACGAGTTGAGAACACAACCTTCGCATCAGCTGATCTACCGCGAGTTTTTTAAACGATGAATTCGGCATTTTCGTCCACAAAACATTAGAGATCTACTATGCATGGCGCCAAGTTGACGACTTATTCTCTAGAGAGAGTGTCTGCTAATTTTATACTATTCTACAAACTATGCCGGTCAATGGATTTTATTGGATAACTTTATGATGTATAATGAGACAATAAGCGGTGGACTCCTTTTTTTTCGATTCAAACTCTAGTCTTACGCTAACCGCACCAGTTTTATAGACTCGGTTTGTTTCGAGCGGTCAATCACGATCAGAGGTACCTTACTCTTGAAATTTTCCAACTCATTGTTTTTGACTCAATGTTTTCACAAATCAGATTTGTCTTTCGCTCAAGGGGGAGGGTTGATAGTCAAAGAGTTCTCAGCTACGAAAAGGAATAGAGAACATACTTTTAGACCTGAGGTGTCGCATAAGAGCCAGTTCTTCTTGCTCATTGACCATTACATATGGTATCACATTCAATATGATCTATGGATAATCTTTGAACACTCCAAGCAACTTCGCAAATGGAATAGTCACATTAAACTCACCTTCTGGCGATGATAACTTTGTAATTTTGTCCTATGGATAACACCATCTTTGATATATCAAGGAATTAATTTGTCCTTCCCTAACAAAACGAGTTTTTTTTTTTATGTAGACGTGATTCCAGGATTTTTCGCCTGACAACTTCTAGTCCGTTCTACTCATATCGGATCTCATCGAAATAAAAAGCTATCGCATTGTTTTATAACCTCGGAATTGTCACTCTGTCTTGTTGGGTGAACATTCTTTCGAAGTAGTGTAGACTGTGGCTGGTTTGTGTGCAGGATGTTTACAAATCTTGGTGTTGTAAACTGATACTAAACTCGTCACCAAATGACGCGTAGGAATGATGAGAATGAAGTTGTATGCATTCGATTGGATTTCTAATCGCTGGGCTGCCCTCTAGGTTTAATATTTCTTCCATGTTGATGATAGAGCAAAGTGTTCTAGTGATTGAAGATATCGAATATTACTCGCACTTAACAATGTGCATATTTCTACATTCTTCTCTGAAATGAAGCTTCTGTTCACTGCTTCGCTTTTATTTACGTTTTAAAAAAACTATTCCATAATTAATCCTGGTTGGAAAGATGCATTATGAGATCCAGTAAATAGAGGAGGTACAGCTGACCGCAATTTTTAGTTCTCTTTACTTAATACCGTTTATGGTTTGCAGATATTTTTTCATATAACGAAAGAAGTCATATATAGGTTCAGTTCCACTACTGTAGAAGTAGTAA